ACGCCATCACGATGAAACGGGTTGTCGCCGCTGGAGCTGACGTGTACGCGGTGAATATCGCAGTCGTAGGAGAAGCAGAGCAGCCGAGCAATTTCATAAGTTACCGGCAGCGGTACCGCCCGTACTACAGGAACTGTTGAAACGGTACCCGGGGATTTTTCCCGATGACTTACCGGAGGGACTGCCACCTCAGCGCGCACACGATCACCGAATAGAGTTAGAACTCGGGGCACAACCAACCGTACAGCAACAGTTCAGACTGAGACAGCCCGAGCTCGACGAACTATGGAAGCACCTAGATTATCTGTTAGAGAAGAAATTCATCTGACCAAGCTCGTCACCGTTCGCCGCACCGATAATGTTCGCACCGAAAAAGGACGGAGGGTTTCGCATGTGCATCGATTACAGGGCACTGAACAAAGTTACAGTCAAGTCGCGATACCCCATTCTCTGCGCCGACAAACTGATAGACCAACTACGAACAGCACAAGTCTTTTCGAAGATTGACTTAGCGGGAGGTTACCATCAGATTAGGGTCAAACTATCGGACTGCGCCAAAACAGCATTTAGAACTAGGTACGGGTCCTTCGAGTACACTCTGATGCCTTTCGGGCTGACCAACGCACCAGCGACATTTCAGATGACCATGAACGAGGCGTTTAGGCCACTATAAAATAAATGTCATAAGTTAGAAGAAAGAAAGAGGATTGAACTAGCAGAAATGGGGATACAAATAGCAAACCCTAGAAGGGTTGTACTCGCTATAGAGCACCCCACTACAGGCTAGAACATAAGAATAATATTCTGACACACCCCCATAGCCAAAGTGGGGTGTAATCAGCAGAGCAGGCAAAGCAAAACAAGCTCAGGGTGGATCACAATGTCACCACACATTCTGAGCACAAGTTCAAGAAGAAATAGTTTAGAGTTCACAATTATAAGCAAAGCTAGTGGTAGTCACAACGGGCAAGTGAGGAGGAGGAGGGGAAGTGAGGGGAGAGGAGACAGGAGGCGACGGCTGAAGCTGCAGACACACGGGCAACAGGAGGCAGACTGGCACAGCGGCTACCGGACAGCGCCCGGACTACAGGAGTAACAGGCCCCGCGGCTCAAATAGCGGCGGACGGGCAACGGACCCACGGGCGGCTGGCACAGCTGGCTACGACTGGGCTACCGGGACAGCGCCCCGGACTATAGGTGCTGCGGACGACAAGCCGGCAGCCTCCGCTCAACCTCCCGCAAACAGTCCCACCCCCCTGATACACACCCACTGCTACACCGCTAGCTCTACTCCCACGCACCCCCCCTTAAACCCTAAACCCCAGTCTCCCACACAACCACCCCCCTCAGCGACAGCTGCAGCAGTGGGAGACGAAGGAGGAGGAGGAGCAAGGGAGGAAGGCACACCGGCCACCCCCATACCCGCCACCCCACAGCTCGCCCCACCGCAAGCGGCCCCCTCAGGTCGCCTCGACGGACGACGGGAAATGGCAGGGGGAAGGGGGGGGGGGGGGGGGGGGGGGGGCGGTGTGGTGAAAGGGGCCCACCACGGGCCTGGTTGGAGGGCGGGGCCGCGACAAGGGGCGGGACCGCGACGGTCGGGGCGGGGCCGCGACGAGGGGCGGGGCCGCGACGTAGGGCGGGGCCGCTTCGAGGGGCGGGGCCGCGACGCAGGGCGGGGCCGCGACGTAGGGCGGGGCCGCGTCGAGGGGCGGGGCCGCGACGGTCGGGGCGGGGCCGTGACATAGGGCGGGGCCGCTTCGAGGGGTGGGGCCGCGACGCAGAGCGGGGCCGCGACGTAGGGCGGGGCCGCGTCGAGGGGCGGGGCCGCGACGGTCGGGGCCGCTTCGAGGGGCTGGGCCGCGACGCAGGGCGGGGCCGCGACGTAGGGCAGAAGCCCGCCGCGCGCCTCGGGGCGCACAGCGGGCAAAGAACCGCCGCGCGCCTCGGGGCGCACGGCGGGCAGAAAACCGCCGCGCGCCTCGGGGCGCACGGCGGGAGGAAAAAGTAGCAGCGGAAGCGAGGTGGTAACCCACCCACAGGATCGATCCAAGGGGATCGACCTGCTCTGATAGCATGTCAAAAGTTAGAAGAAAGAAAGAGGAATGAACTAGCAGAAATGGGGATACAAATAGCAAACCCTAGAAGGGTTGTACTCGCTATAGAGCACCCCACTACAGGCTAGAACATAAGAATAATATTCTGACAATAAATGCGTGATATTTTACCTCGACGAGATCCTCGTCTACAGTAGCGACAAGAAGCACCACTTAGCAGACCTGGAAGCATTTTCTAAAATTTTTGACGAGCACAAGCTCCTGACCAAGGGTTCCAAGTGTGAGTTTTTTCAAGACAGGCTAGAGTTTATGGGGCACGTTATTTTGAAGGCTGTGGTTGGGATCAACCCAAAGAATTTGGACAAATATCACGGAGCTGAAGAGTTTTTTAGGTTTCGTTAATTACGTGCATCGGTTCGTCCCCGACATGGCAAGGTTAACAGCTGTCAACGGGAGTTGTGTTAGGCCTCGTCCTCGCTTGGGCAGAGCCGACTTCGTGGTCGGGTGTAGGGGTGCAGCCGACCTGCAGCCGTGGGCAAGCTGGTCGACGAGGATGGTCGACTTGCGCAGAGGCCACTGCACTGGCGTCGACTTCTTGTCACCGGCTTTGGGGTGGTCGGCCTGATGGTCCATCCTGACGAGGGTGGTCGACGAAGGGAGGCGCCGACGTCGACATCGACAGGGGACGCTGAGTTGGAGGGCGTCAAACAGCAGGATGCCGAGCAGCTGTGCATCGAGTAGTAGGGCGTCAACTTGGTGACGCCGACCTAGGGAAGCCGACTTGGGTGGTCGGCAAACGACTATGTTGGTCGACATGGAGCTGGTCGACCAGGAGTGACGTCGATCTGGAGCTGGTCGACCAAGGGTGTGGTCGACCTGGTGAGGTCGACTGGAGGTGGTCGTCGACTTGGGAGGTCGACGGGCACGTGTAGGAGCAGCTGATCGACGTGGTTGCCTGGTTGACCAGGTTACCTAGGTGACGAGATTTTGCAGAGGAGTGAGACGGTCGCCCAGGTGGTGTTGGCGAGACCGACCTCGTTGGTGGTATCCCGAGGTCGACATGGCGGATCAGGTGCAGTCGTCACCACGAAGACGATTTCGTGTGTATGCTGTGCAGGTGACAAGGCACAACATGCCAATCATCTTCGAGCACCTGCGAAGTAGGAGCACTGCTATCTTGTGGGAGCAAAGTTGGCACGCCGTTGACTTGAGCTGTTGGCATGACGTCGACCTGCAGCGTTGGCAAGCCGCGACTCTGCACTGCTGGAGCGCGGTCGACCAAGCCGTGCTGGCATGCGGTCGACCATGCTGCGCTGGCAGTGGACCGACCTGTATCCTAGTTCTGATGTAGTCTTGTCATGCCAACTTCATTGCACCATTATTGTCAACACTTCTTGGTGAAACTCTTGCCAATCCTCCCCCTGAACTAGCAAGTAGTGTGAGCGCTTGGAAACGACAAAGGAACGAACGAAGGCAGAGATCATATGAGCATCCGTGCCTGGCCCGTAGTCTAGCTCCCGTTATAGTAGTTATCTCCGCAACAGCCCCACTGATGGATCTGCTACGGAAGGGGGTCGCTTTAACGTGGGGGGAGAAAGAGCATGCTACCTTATCTACCCTGAAAATATTCTGTGTTCACCGCTCGTACTCTGCATCGCCGACCCACACCGCCCATTCGAAGTGGTTACAAACGCAAATAACATCGCCATTGGAGCCGTAATGCTACGGGATTTTGGCAACGGCCTACAGCTTATTGCATACGAGTCACGAAAATCGCATCCGCCCGAGAAAAACTACCTGATACACGACCAAGAAATGTTCGCGATCGTGCACGCATTCAAAGTGTGGCGCTGGTACTTGACCGGCGCAAACGTGACAGTATGGACATATCATAAATCACTACAGTACCTCCGCGCACAACCCCAGCTCAACCCACGATAGATTCGCTGGCTCGATTGTCATCGAGTCAAATTTTCACTACACGGTCACCTACAAAAAGGGGGCATCAAACATCGCCGACGCACTGTCCCGCCCCACTGCCCAAATCCACGCCAAACTACTCACCCAAACCAGCCCGCTATTAACATGACTATTTACCCACGGATATCAGACGGAGCCATTCATCACAGGTGGAAATTCGCAGCAATTCGCAGCAGCTAAGTGGGTTTATAACGTAAAAGCCGGCACCGACCACATCTGGGTACCGGGCTACATTTTACTAAGGAAGCTGTTACTACACAAAGCGCCTGACGGAGTTCCCTAAGGACAATTCGGAGTAGACAAAACACGGCAGCAGCTGCAGCGATATTACTACTGGCCAGAGATGCTAACCGACATGCAACGACACGTGGCATCGTGTCCGACCTGCCAACTCATGAAATCATCACGGAAACGGCCGCCAGGACAGTTGCAGTCCATACCACCCCCAGAGCTTGCCTGGCAGCAGGTGACGATGGACTTGTGAAAACTAAAGAACAGAAATGAATGAACTATGAAATGTGTGTGTACAAGTACCAACCCTAATTGGGTTGTACCCCTTATGGGATACCCCACTATAGCCTACACAAAAGCATAAGCTATAAGTTCTGACACACCCCCATAGGCAAAGTGGGGGAGAACAAGGGGTCACAAGACCAGTCAAGCAAAGCAAAGCATAGCTCAGGGTGGATCACAAAGTCACCACACAGTCCGAGCGCAAGGTCAAGGCCACAAGGCCAGTTCACATGCAAGACGAGACATATATATATAAGGCTAAACAAGCAAGAGCAGGTATATATATATGCAAGAGTACAAGCAAGGTCAAGAGGTGAGCAAGTGAGGTAGGACAGGTACAAGTCCCAGCTGAGTGCAGAAGCGCTAATTATCACAAGGCGGAAGTGCCTTGGTGAAAACATCAGCAGTGTTAGCCTCAGAGGCCACGTACGCAAGTCGCAACTGACCACGCTATTGCAGCTCACGAGCAAGGAAGTAACGGAGAGCAATGTGCTTCGTTCTGTGCTCCAAGCGCTGCTCTCGACACAAGGCCAGCATGGCCTTGTTGTCTACGTACAGCACTGGAGGAGAACGAGGCACCTCTCCAAGGTCAGTCAGCAGGTAGGTGAGCCAGCGAAGCTCCTGTGCAGCCATGGCCCCGGCGTAGATCTCAGCCTCACAACTAGAGCCGAGAACAGAAGACGAGCGAGTAGCCCGCCAAGAGACAGAGCCAGAACCAAGAGTGAAGGTGTAACCGTGCGACGACCGCTGCGTAGCCTGGTCGTCAGCCCAAGAAGCGTCCGCGTGACCAGTGAGGACCGCTGGACTCCGCCCTCCAAGCACTAGCCCCATGCCCGACGTACTGCACAAGTAGCGCAACACCCTCTTCGCTGCAGCCATGTGCTCTGGTCGGTGTCTCCCAGGAGCAACATAGCGTGCAAGAATGCTAAGAGGGTATGCAAGGTCAGGTCGTGTGCAGGTCATCAGGTACATGAGGCAGCCAACAAGCTCTGGGTACGGGCCACTCGACTCTACGGACTCATCCGAAGGCAGAGCTGAGAGCGAGTGGCGAGTAGCTAGAACAGTGGCCTGAGGCGAGGAGTACGTGAAGCCGAAGCGCTGAAGGACCTGCTGCACCATGTGTGACTGAGTCAAGGTAATGGTGCGGCGTGCTCTGTCCCGGGTGATCTGCAAGCCAAGGTAGCTACGCAGTTCACCCAGGTCTGTGCACGTGTGTCTCTTCTGCAGCTCCGACTTCACGTAGGCGAGTCCAGCAGTGTCAGCAGTGGCAAAGACCAAGTCGTCGACGTACACGAGGATGTAGAACGGCGGCAGAGAGGTGTCGGTGCGCAGAAACAACGACGGGTCAGCAGTAGAGGGAGCAAACCCAAGAGCCGCAAGCGTAGTCCTCAGTGTGTCGTGCCACTCACGCGGTGCCTGGCGGAGACCGTAGACTGGCCGTCGGAGGCTCCACTGGGTGCCAGGAGGGAAAGTCCCAGTGAAGCCAGGTGGACGGCGCAGCCAGATCTCCTCGTGCAGGCTACCTTGCAAGAAAGCAGTGCTGAAGTCAAGAGAGTGAAGCTCGTAGTCGCGCTGAGCGGCTATGTGTAGCAGCACCCGAAGAGTGGTCATCTTCGGGGTGGGAGAGAAGGTCTGAAAGTAGTCAACTCCCTGCCGCTGTCTGAAGCCACAAGCGACGTACCGCGCCTTGAAGACAGGTGGAGAGCCCGGCGGCCGCTTCACCCTGAAGATCCACATGCCACTGACGATGTTCGCCCAAGGAGGGGGAACCGCGTCAACGTAGGTGCCTGTGGACTTCCAGGAAGCCATCTCTGCATCCATAGCTGCCTGCCACTGAGAGGAGTAGGGACCCTCTACGGCTTCCGCATAAGAACGCGGAGTCGGGATGTCTAGTGCATCCGGGTCTCCCTCAGGGGCAAGCAGTACAGACGCAAGATGAGGTGAAGCAGCAGCCAGACACTGGAACTCCTCCTGCGTGTCCTCAAGGACGTCCGTGCCAAGAGCACACTCACCCCCGACGGACGGAGGACAGACAGACGCAGACTCAGCAACAAGACTAGCAGCGTAGTCTAGACGACAGCGAGCAGCAAAGTCGACGAGCTCAGCGACAAGAGCAGATGCAGCAGTGGACTCGAAAGAGGGGTCAGTGACAACAGTAGCAAGAAGACGCGTGACAGTAGGACTGGAAGCACGAAGAGAGTCGGACTCCGGGTCGGAAAGCGCAGGAAGAGAGGACTTAGGAGGAGAAGGCGAAGGGGCACGCAGAGGAGCATTGGACGGACGCAGAGACATCCGGTGTGTGCCAGGGACAGGAGGAGGACGCTGACGCGAACCACGACCACTAGCGCGAGCAGCATGAACAGGCAACGCGGGACGAGACGCAGGCTCACGACGCTCAGCGAGACCTCCAGTAGGACCAGTGTAAGGAGAGGGAGCAGGCAGTGGGGAGGCCGGCTCTAACAGTGACGGCGATTGGACAGACAGCGGACACTCTACAGAAGGAGGAAGACCAAGAACCTGCTGCAGGAGCGGAACGAAGTACGGCCGAGGCCGCGCGGGGACTCGAGGCACAGCAGGGACAGCACCAGAACCCTCAGCGGCAGCACCAGCGCCAACAGCACCTCCAGCGGCAGGACCTCCAGTCGCACCAGCAGCAGGACCACCGCCAGGACAGACAGCAGCAGTCTCAGCACCAACACCCTCAGCAGCTCCAGCTCCAGTAGGACCCGAAGGCCCAGCAGCTCCAGGACCGGCGGCACCAGCACCCTCAGCGGCCGAAGAAGCTCCAGCTCCAGCAGTACGCCTCCAGCGGCGAGCAAACCACTCGCGCAGCTCCTGTGGAGAGAGGGGCTCCCGCCAAGACGGAGCAACCGGAGAAACCCCAGGCCCAGCACCGCCAGACGCCACAAGGGGAGGTCCAGTGGCCGTAGGCTCCGCACCTCGCGGCTCAGCAGCTCCAAACGCAGCCCCTCCGGGCTCAACACCCTCTGGCGCAGCACCCCCAGACTCAGCAACCTCAGGCTCGTCACCCCCAGGCTCAGCACCCCAAGGCTCATCACCCCCAAGCTCAGCACCCACGCGCACAGCACCCCCAGAGTCAGCATCCCCAGGCTCAGCACCCGCAGTAGGACCAGAGTCACCATCAACCTCGACCGGCTCGACTGCGTCTACCTGGGACACACCTGAAGGGGCAGGAACCTGAGGGGGGAGGGGGTCTACCGGGGTGGGACCTGGCACAAGGAAGTCCGGTGGCGGGGGGAGGGAAGGAGTGCGGTAGGGGAAGAGGCGGTAGAAGGGGACTGACTCATCGAACGTGACGTCCTGGGAGGACAGAACACTACGAGAGGAGGGGTGGTAGAACTGCCACCCTGGAGCGTCAGGGGGGAAGCCAAGGAAGACACAGGGAGCAGCACGGGGGGATAGCTTGTCCGCAGACAAGTCGCGAACAAACGCCCGAGATCCCCAGACACGGAATGCAGACGCATCGCCGACCTTCCCAGTCCACAGGAGGGCCGGGGAGGTGCGGACCTTCCCCGGCCGGGAAACCCTGGGGTGAAGGTTGATCTGATGCGCCGCGTACCGTACCGCAAACGGCCACAGAAAATGGGGGGCAGCCGCATGCATCATGGACGTACGGGCGACGTCCATGACCATGCCAATGTGGCGCTCAGCAATCCCATTTTGCTGTGGAGAGTCCGGAAGCGTAAAGGTCTGGCGGATGCCCTGTGCACGATAGTAGGCTCGCAGAAGGCCAGAGGAAAACTCTCCGCCTCGGTCAGAGTGCAGACGCAGAACAGGAAAGTCCGAGCCGAAGCTCCTCCTGAGCTGGAGACGAGCTGTGCGGATCCAGTCGATCAACACCTCAGTGACATCACCCTTGCTGCGCAAGGGGAAGACTGTGGTGAAACGCGAGTAGTCATCAACCACTAGCAGAAAGTAGCGCTCGTGACCCTGTCCACGAACGCGGGCCGGGCCCCACACGTCCATGTGAAGCGTCTGCAGAGGAGCCTCTGTCGGAGGAAACTGTGAGGAGTGGGGGGCAGCCCAGAGGCGCCCCTCGACACAAGGGACACAGGAAGGTCCTGGCCCCGAAGGAAGGGGAGGGAGAGACCGGGGAAGACCAGAGACAAGGACACGGGAAGCCATGTCCCTGAGACGGGGCAAGGAGGGGTGGCCAAGACGGTGGTGCCACAGGAGAGTCTCGTGAGACAGGAGGCGACACGAGCAGGGGGCAGACTCAGGACCAGACCTGGACGCAGCAGCAAACACCTGACCCGACGCAGCTTCCTGGCAAGACACAGGGACAGGAGGAGACTCAGTGGTCAGGGTGTAGAGGCTCGATCCCGGCCGACGGGAGAACGTGGCCAGGTGCCGACCTGTGCGTGCGTCCGTGCAGTGGGTCACCCGCTGACTCGCAGGAGTAAACTGGTGAACCCCCGCATCCTGTAGGGCAGCACCACTCACCAAGTTCGTCGAGAACGAGGGGAGGTACAGACCAGACAAGGTGCCCGAGGGGGCAGCTGGACACGGTAGGACAGTGGAGAAGTGAGAGAGGACAGGACCCCCAGAGGGGTCAGCCAGGGAGACCGCAACCGGCCGGCCAAGCGGCGTGAGTGTGGTGCGGTCCCGAAAGAAGGAGCGAGAAGCCCCAGAGTCAAGTGTAAAGGTGAAGGAGGCCGAAGCCGACGTGGTACCTGAGAGCGCAGCCTCACCAGTACCTGAGAGCGCAGCCTCACCAGTACCTGAGAGCGCAGCCTCACCAGCACCTAGCGCAGCCGTACCAATGCCCGGGTCGGGCAGGAAACACCGGTAACAGTCACCCTCATCACTAATAGACACAGCATACATGGCAGCAAGGATAGCATCAAAGTCTAGCTCAAAGATCGCTACACCAGCTCTAGAAAGGTCTCCCCAGCGGGGGATCTCAGAAGCGTCAGGGAACTGCTGACGCCAAGCGTCCGTCAGGCGACCAAAGCAGCGCCAGGTGGAGTGGGCACCCCCACACTGCTCACCCGCGCGGTCGCCGCTGCGAAGAACGTAGGTGCACGGGCTAAAGCCTCCACCACGCTGACTCTGCGTGTACCACTCACGGAGCTGCTGAGGCGTGGGGACGTCCCGAGCACGCTGCTGCTGCTGCTGCTGCTGCTTCTGCTGCCGCGGACCACCACCAGAGCCGCTCCGCTGCGGGGCACTACCCCGACCAGCTCCACCTCCTCCGCCACCACCGCCTCCACCTCCGCCACTACCACCGCCTCCGCTCCCACCGCCTCCGCCGCCACCACCTCCGCCGCCGCTGCCGCCGCCACCGCCACCACTCCCGCCACCACTCCCACCGCCACCTCCACTCCCTCCGCCGCCTCCACCGCCACCTCCACCGCCCCCGCCAGCTCCACCCGCGCCCTTGCCCCCCTTGCCCTTGCCAGGGCGGCGTCTCCCGCTAGGGGCAGACGCCGCGCCGACCGGCTCAAGACCAAGCAGGTCGGCAGCAGCAGCAGAGGCAATAGAGGGCAGCAGGGGGGAAGGAGAACACCCCTCAAAAATGGGGGTGCGCGGGTCAGCACGAGAGGCTCCTACAGCGACTATGCTCTTCTCCGCCGCTAGGAGGGCCTTCTCGAGGAGGTCGACAGTGAGGGTGGTGGGACAGACTGAGAGGAAGTGGTCCCTGACTACGCGAAGGGAGTCAGGGAGACGAGTGACTATGTAATAGAGAGCGATGTACATGGGGGGGGGGGGTTCTTGGCGCAGAACTCAGTAGGAAGGACGGTGCGGTAGCGAGTGTCACTAGTGCGGAGGTGCGTAATGAGGTCAGCGACAGTGGGAAAGGCAGTGAGATCAGGAAAGAGGAACGGTAGCATGAGACGGCTCAGTGCAGCAGTGGCAGGGGAAGAGTAGCGCGCAACGACAGCGTCGTACAAGGTCTGAGCACTCTTGTATTGACTAAAGTGCGCGCGCTCAGTGGTGGGCAAGTGGCGACGCACAGCAAGACGTGCAGCAGCATCGCGGGTGGCCCACTGAGAGCGAACAGTGGGGTCAGCATCAGCAGCAGGGGCAGGAGAGGCGCCAGAGGTGAGGTCAAAGAGGGAAAGGGCGTCAGCTCTATCGCACTGTAAGAACAGCTGCAGGTCGTCGACCCAGACCTCAAAGTCAATGGCTCGACCCTCAGCGTCAAAAGCAAGGACACTGGGGGTAGCCATGACGACGACAGTGGAGCAGTGCAAGCAGTAGGGGAAGGGCACGCAGTGACAGCGGTACGGTGCTCACCGGGCAGGGCAGGTCGGGCGGCTCGGCAGGAAGGTTGTCCGGTGACTCGGCGGCTCGGCTGCTGGGCGGCTCGGCTCCCGGGCGGCTCAGCGGCAGGGCGGCTCGGCGGCAGGGCGGCTCGGGTGCAGGGCGGCTCGGCTGCCGGGCGGCTCGGGTGTACGGCGGCTCGGGGACGGGGCGGCTCGGCGGTCCGGCGGGTGCTGCTGAGCGGCTCGGCTGCTCCGGTACCGGGCGGCGTGGCGGTCGGCTGCGTGGGCGGCGAGGCCGCGTGAGTGAGGGCGGCGGGGCCGCGTAGATGAAAGGTGGCAGGGCCGCGTAGGTGGAGGTGGCGGGGCCGCGTAGGTGAAGGCGGCGGGACCGCTGAGGTGAAAGCGGCGGGGCCGCGTTGATGAGGGCGGTGGGGCCGCGTAGGAGAGGGCGGCGGGGCCCGTAGGTGGAGGTGGCGGGGCCGCGTAGGTGAAGGTGGCGGGGCCGCTCAGGTGAAGGCGGCGGGGCCGCGTAGGAGAGGGCGGCGGGGCCGCGTAGGAGAGGGCGGCGGGGCCGCGTATGTGAGGGCGGCAAGGCCGCACGGCTCAGGGCGGCGAGGCCGCGACAGGAGGGCGGCGGAGCCGTAGGAGCAGGGCGACGGGGCCGCGATGGGAGGGCGGCGGGGCCGCGACAGCGAGGCGACGGGGCCGCAACGTCAAGGCGACGGGGCCGCAAGGGAAGGGCGGCGGGGCCGCAAGAGTAGAGGCGGCGGGGCCGCGATCAAAGGGCGGCGGGGCCGCGATCAAGGGGCGGCGGGGCCGCGATCAGGGGGGGCGGCGGGGCCGCGATCAGGGGGCGGCGGGGCCGCTCAGGTGAAGGCGGCGGGGCCGCTCAGGTGAAGGGCGGCGGGGCCGCGATCAAGGGGCGGCGGGGCCGAGAGAGTAGGGGCGGCGAGGCCGCGATGTAAGGGCGGCGGGGCCGCAAGAGTGTAGGGCGGCGGGGCCGCAGTGGGTAGGGCGGCAGGGCCGCGATCGTAGGGTCGGCCGCTAGGGCGGCTCGGTGAGAGAAAGGCCCGAGGCGCGACTCGGAACGACTGCGCTTCGGGCAGAAAAAAAAAAATCGAGTGGTGGGCCCTAGGCGAAGTTCCCACAGGGGAACCTGCTCTATACCATGTGAAAACTAAAGAACAGGAATGAATGAACTATGAAATGTGTGTGTACAAGTACCAACCCTAATTGGGTTGTACCCCTTATGGGATACCCCACTATAGCCTACACAAAAGCATAAGCTATAAGTTCTGACAGGACTTTGTCACGGATTTACCGGCCAGAGCAAGTGGGAACGGCACGATCCTGGTCGTCGTCGATCGGCTGACGAAAATAGCACATTTCGCATCTTGACCGTCATTCGACTGCACGGGATACCAGCAGCAATCATCAGCGATAGCAACACGAAATTCACCACCAACTTATGGCGGAACCTGTGGCAGCAGTTCGGCACACGACTACAGTTTAGTTGTTCGTACCACCCCGAGACCGACGGACAGACGGAACGGACAAACCAAACCATGGAGCCCCTGATCCGAGCCACGTCCGATGACCCAGCCATTTGGGAACAGCAACTACCACTCATCGAATTCGCGGACAACAACTCGCCATCCGCCACGACCCATGAGTCACCGATTTACCTGAACTACGGACAAGACCCTACAGTACCCATGACCCTGAATCCCGACAACCCAACACCACACGCGCAACAGCTCGCAGAAATCCTACAGGCAGAACGGACCCGGCCAGCCGACGCAATAAAATGGCCAACGTCATCATTAAATGCAACGCCGACCACCACCGCAGACCTGTCACTTACCAACCCGACGACCTAGTTTTACTCAACACCCAAATCCTCCGCCTGCCCATCACCCCGAAACTCCGCCCCCGATATTGCGCGCCCTTCCGCATCAGCCGCATGATCACACCCGTCACCGCCCACCTCCTCCTGTGAAAGAACGAAGAATGAACGCACTGGCAAACAGGTGGGTACAAGTAGGAAAACCTAAAAGTGTTGTGCCCCATATTGTCTACCCCACTACAGCCTACACATACTATAGCATATAAGTTTGACACACCCCCATAGGCTAAGTGGGGGAGAACAAGAGGTCACAAGACCAGTCAAGCAAAGCAAAGCAAGCTCAAGGTGGATCACAACGTCACCACACAATCTGAGCACAAAAGCAAGGCCAAAAGGCCAGTTCACATGCAAGATCATATATAAAGGTAAACAGGAAAGTGCAGGTATAGAAAGATCACAGTACAAGCAAGGTCAAGAAGTGAGCAAGTGAGGCCAAGTAGGCACAAGACCAAGCATCGTAAAGCAGCGCTGATGATCACAAGGCGCAAGTGCTTTGGTAAAGATATCAGCAGTCTTGGCCTCAGAGGCCACGTAAGCAAGGTGCAGCTGACCACGCTGCTGCAGCTAACGAGCAAGGAAGTAACGAGGAGCAATGTGCTTCGTTCTGTGCTCCAATCTGTACTCCCGACATAAGGCCAGCATGGCCTTGTTGTCTACGTACAGAACTGGAGGAGAACGAGGCGGCTCTCCCAGGTCGATCAGCAGATAGGTGAGCCAGCGTAGCTCCTGTGCAGCCATGGCCCCCGCGTAAATCTCAGCCTCACAGCTGGAGCCGAGAACAGAAGACGAGCGGGTGGACCGCCACGAAACAAACACGGAACCAAGGCTGAAGGTGTAACCCTGTGACGACCGCCGCGTAGCCACGTCGTCAGCCCAAGAAGCGTTTGCGTGACCTGTGAGGACCACTGAACGACGCCCTCCAAGCACTAGCCCCATGCCCGACGTACTGCACAAGTAGCGCAACACCGTCTTCGGTGCGGCCTTGTGCTCTGGTTGGTGTCTCCCAGAAGCAACATAGCGTGCTAAGATGCTAAGAGGGTATGCAAGGTGAGGTCGAGTGTAGGTCATCAGGTACATGAGGCAGCCAACAAGCTCTGGGTACGGGCCACTCGGCTCTACGGACTCATCCGAAGGCAGAGCTGAGAGCGAGTGGCGAGTAGACAGAGGAGTGGCCCAAGGCGAGGAGTACGTGAAGTCGAAGCACTGAAGGACCTGCTGCACCATGTGTGACTGAGTCAGGGTAATGGTGCGCTGTGCTCTGTCCCGGGTGATCTGCAAGCCACGGTAGCTGCGCAGTTCACCCAAGTTTGTGCATGTGTGTCTCTTCTGCACCTCGGACTTCACGTGGGCGAGTCCAGCAGTGTCAGCAGTGGCAAAGACCAAGTCGTCGACGTACACGAAGATGTAGAACGGCGGCAAAGAGGTGTCGGTGTGCAAAAACAGCGACGGGTCGGCTCTAGAAGGAGCAAACCCAAGAGCCGCAAGTGTAGTCCTCACTATGTCGTGCCACTCACGGGGCGCCTGACAAAGACCATAGACTAGCTGCCGGAGGCTCCACTGGGTACAATGAGGAAACGACCCAGTGAAGCCAGGTGGGCAGTGCAGCCAGATCTCCTCGTGCAGGCTGCCCTGCAGGAAAGCTGTGCTGAAGTCAAGAGAGTGAAGCTCGTAGTCGCGCTGAGCGGCTATGTGCAGCAGCACCCAAAGAGTGGTCATCTTCGGGGTGGGAGAGAAGGTTTGAAAGTAGTCAACTCCCTGACGCTGACTGAAGCCTCGAGCCACGTAACGCGCCTTGAAGACAGGCGGAGAACCCGGTGGCCGCTTCACCCTGAAGATCCACATGCCACTGATGATGTTCGCCCCAGGTGGGGGAACCTCGTCGACATAGGTGCCTGTGGACTTCCAGGAGGCCATCTCTGCGTCCATGGCTGACTGCCAATGTGAGGAGTAGGGACCCTCGATCGCATCAGCGTACGATTGAGGAGTCGGGATGTCTAGTGCATCCAGGTCTCCCTCAGGGGCAATCAGCACGGACACGAGATGAGGCAAAGCAGCAGCAAAACACTGGAACTCCTCTTGCCTGTCCTCAAGGACGTCCGTGCTCAGAGCACACTCACCCCCGACAGACGGAGGACAGACAGACTCAAACTCAGCAACGAGACTAGCGGCGTAGTCTAGACGACAACGAGCAGCAAAGTCGACAAGCTCAGCAACTAAGGCAGACACAGCAATTGACTCAAAGGAAGGGTTAGTGACAACATTAGCCAGGAGACGCATGACAGTAGGACTGGCAGCACGAAGAGAGTCAGACTCTGGGTTAGCAAGAACAGGAAGAGAGGACTCTGGAGGAGATGGCAACGAGGACGCAAAGGAGCAGTGGAAGGACACAGTGCCATCTGGTGTGTGCCTGGGACCGCAGGAGGACGCGGACGTGGAACGCGACCACTAGTGCGAGCAGCAGGAACAGGCGACGTAGTACGAGACGCAGGCTCACGATGCTCAGCAATACCTCCAGTAGGACCAGTGTAGGGAGAAGGAGCAGGTAGGGGGAAGGCGGGCTGTAACTGTGACTGCGACTTGACAGGCTGTGGACACGCTAAGGGAGGAGCAGGACCAGGAGAGGGCGAGAGACCAAGAACATGCCCAAGGAGTGGAACGAAGTACAGCCGCGGCCGTTCAACGTCTCCTGAAACAGCAGGGACAGCACCAGTACCCCCAGCGGCAGCACCAGCGCCAACAACACCTCTAGCTCCAGCATCACCAACTCCAGCACCCTCAGAAGTACCAGCGCTAGAAGCACCTCCAGCGCCAACACCCCCAGCAGCTCTACTACCTCCAGCACCACTAGCAGCACTTCCAGCAAGACCAACTCCAGTAGCCCCAGTAGCACCCCCAGTCCCAGCAGCTCTAGTACCGCCAGTACGAGCACCGCTAGGACCAGGGTCTCCAGTACCTCCAGCGCCGACCCCAGGGTCAGCAGCAACAGTAGCACCTCTAGCTCTAGCAGCACGGCTCGAGCGCCGGGCAAACCACTCGCGCAGATCCTATGGAGAGGTAGCTTCCGCCGAGACAAAGCACCCGAAGGTCCCCCAGACCCAGCACCGCGAGAGGCCACACGAGCAGACCCATTACCCCCATGCTCCGCACCACCAAGCTTAGCACCCCCAGGCTCCTCACCCCCACGCTCAGCGACCCCAGGCCCAGCATCCCCAGGCTCCGCACCCCCAGACTCCGCACCCCCAAGCTCAGCAACCCGAGGCTCAGCACCCCCAGGCTCAGCACCCCCAGACTCAGCACCCCAAGGCTCAGCACCCCTATCAGCACTAGAGTCAACAGCTACCTCGACAGGCTCGTCTGCGTCTACCTAGGACACACCTGACGGGGCAGGACCCTGAGGGGGGAGAGGGTCTACCGGGGGGGGACCTGGCGCAAGGAAGAGCGGCGCCGGGGGGAGGGGCGTAGTGCGGTAGGGGAAGAGACGGTAGTAAGGAACCGGCTTGTTAAAGGTGACGTCGTGGGAGGACAGAACACGGCGCGAGGTGGGGTGGTAAAACTGCCAACCAGGTGCGTCAAGGGGGAAGACAAGGAAGACGCAGGGAACAGCACGGGGGGACGGCTTGTCTGCAGACAAGTCGCGGACAAACGCCCGAGATCCCCAGACACGAAACACAAACGCATCGCCAACCTTCCCTGTCCACCGCAACGTGGGGGAGGTCTTTGGCAAGGAGACCCGGGGATGAAGGTTGATCTGATGCGCTGCGTACCGAACCGCACACGGCCACAGAAAATGGGGAGCAGCCGCATGGATCATGGACGCACGAGCGACGTCCATGACCATGCCAATGCGGCGCTCAGCAATTCTATTTTGCTGTGGAGAGGCCGGAAGCGTGAAGGTCTTGTGGATGCCCTGTGCACAACAGAAGGCTTCCAGAAAGGCAGAGGAAAACTCACCGCCTCTGTCAAAGTGCAGACGAAGAACAGGAAAGTCCAAGCCGAAACTCTCTCTGAGCTGGAGACGAGTCGCGCGGATCAAGTCGATCAACACCTTAGTGACGTCACCCTTGCTGCGCAAGGGGAACACCGTGGTGTAACGCGAGTAGTCGTCAACCACCAACAAGAAGTAACGCTCGTGACCTTGGCCACGGAAGCGGGCGGGGCCCCACACGTCCATGTGAAGAGTCTGCAGCGGAGCCTCTGTCGGAGGAAACTCGGAGGAGTGAGGGGCGGCGCGCTGCCGCCCCTCGACACAGGGAACGCAGGTAGGGGCAGGCCCCAGAGGGAGGGGAGGGAGGGACCGACGGAGACCAGAGACAAGGTAACGGGAGGCCATGCCTCGAAGACGAGGCAGGGAGGGGTGACCAAGGTGGTGGTGCCAGAGGAGAGTCCCGTGGGACAGCAGACGAGACGAGCAGGGAGCAGACTCAGGACCAGACCTGGACGCCGCAGCAAACACATGACCCGACGCAGCTACCTGTCCACACTCGGCAATCGGAGGAGACTCAGTAGTAATTGTGTACAGGCTCGACCCCGGCTGACGGGTAAACGTGGCTAAGTGTCGGCCCGTCCGAGCACACGTACAGTGGGTCACCCGCTGACTCTTAGGAGTGAACTGGTCAACCCCCCCATCCTGTAGATCAGCACCACTAACCAAGTTCGTAGGGAACGAGGGGAGGTAGAGACCGGACAGGGTGCCAGAGGGGGCCGCCGGACACGGTAAGATAGTGGAGAAGCGGGCAAGGACAGGACCCTCAGAAGGGTCCGTCAGGGAGACTGCAACTGGCCGACTAAGCGGCGTAAGCGTGGTGCGGTCTCGAAAGAAGGAGCGGGAAGCACCAGAGTCAAGGGTGAAGGTGTGAAAGGCCTGAGCCGACGTGGTACCTGAGATTGCAGACTCACTAGTACCTGGGGCAGCAGACGCACTAGCACCTAGAGCAGCAGCCTCACCAGCACCTGGAGCAGCAGCGTCAATGCCCGGGTCTGGCGGGACACACAGGTAACAGTCACCCTCATCACTAGTAGACACACATGCATCGGAGGAAGAATGGCATCATAATCCAAATCAAAGATAGCAACCCGCGACCTAAGAAGCTCACCCCAGCGGGGGATCTCAGTGGCGTTAGGGAACTGGAGACGCCAAGCGTCTGTCAGGCGGCCGAAGCAGCGCTGGGTGGTGTGCAGGCCACCGCACTGCTCACCAGTGCGGTCGCCGGTACGCAGTGGCGTTAGGGAACTGGAGACGCCAAGCGTCTGTCAGGCGGCCGAAGCAGCGCTGGGTGGTGTGCAGGCCACCGCACTGCTCACCAGTGCGGTCGCCGGTACGCAGGACGTAGGCACAAGGACCAGCATCCCCACCCCGCTGACGCGCAACGTACCACTCACGAAGCTGCTGAGGGGGCGAGGTGTCACGAGTGCGCTGCTGCTGCTTGCGCTGACCACCACCGAATCCGCTCCGCTGCGCAGAGCCACCCCGACCAGCTCCACCTCGGCCTCCGCCACCTCCGCCACCGCTGCCACTGCCTCCTCCTCCGCTCCCACCGCCACCGCCGCCGTCGCCTCCGCCTCCACCGCCGCCACGGAAGCCCCCACCCCCGCCACCACTCCCACTGCCACCCCCACTCCCTCCGCCGCCTCCACCGCCACCTCCGCCGCCCCCACCAGCCCCTCCAGCTCTCTTGCCCCCCTTGCCCTTGCCGGTGCGGCGTCTCCCGCTAGGGGCAGACGCGGGGCCGACCGACTCGGTGCCAACGAAGTCGACGGCAGCAGCGGAGGCAACAGAGGGCAAAAGGGGGGAGGGGGAGCACCCCTCAAAGAAGGGGGCACGAGGGTCACCACGAGAGGCTCCTACAGCGACTATACTCTTCTCAGCTGCCAGGAGGCGCTCCTTGAGGAGGTCAACGGTGAGTGTGGTGGGGCAAACAGAGAGGAAGTGGTCCCTGACCGAGCGAAGAGATTCAGGGAGCCGGGTAACTATGTAGTAGAGGGTGATGTACATGGGGGGGGGGGGGGTTCTTGGCGTAGAACTCAGCAGGAAGCGCAGCGCGGTAGCGGGTGTCACTAGTGCGAAGGTGCGTAATGAGGTCAGCGACAATGGGAAAGGCGGCAAGGTCAGGGAACAGGTACGGCAGCATGAAGCGGCTAAGGGCAGCAGTGGCAGGGGAAGAGTAGCGTGCAACTACAGCGTCGTACAAGGTCTTAGCACTCTTGTACTAACTAAAGTGCGCGCGCTCAGTGGACGGCAGGTGACTACGCACAGCAAGACGGACAGCAGCATCGCGTGTGGCCCACTGTGAGCGAACAGTGCAGTCAGCATCAACAGCAGGGGCAGCAGAGGCGCCAGACGTAAGATCGAACAGTGAGAGACCGTCTTTCCTATCGCACTGTAGGAAAAGCTGTAGATCATCGACCCAAACCTCAAAGTCAACAGCCCGACCCTTAGCATCAAAGGCGAGAACACTAGGGGTAGCCATAACAGCAGTGGCAGCAGGCTAGGGGCAGCAGCACCAGTAGCAACAGGAGGGGCGCGGCTTGGTGGTGCTCTTACCAGGGCAGGTGGGTAGAGTGCCGCAAGTGGTGGGGCAGGGCCGAGGCGCGTCGGCAGGGACGGGGCCGCTACAGGGTGGCAGAGGAGCACTGCTCCGCTCTGCAGGGCAGGGCCGGGACAGCGGCGGCGGCCCCTGCTGTCGATGGCGACGGAAGCTGCAGGCGGCTGCGGCCCCAGCTGTGGCGGCTGCGGCTGTTGCCGTCGGCGGCTGCTCCTGCTGTAGGCTGCGGCGGCGGATGCGGCCCCGGCTGTGGCGGCGGCGGCTGCCCGCTGTCGGCGGCACCGGCGGTGGCGGCTCCCGCTGCTGGAACGGCGTTGGTTGGTGCTGCAGGGGCGGCGACGGCGGGGCGGCAGGTCTGTGAGGGAGCCGAGAAGGGGCCGCGGAGGAGCCGATAAGAGGCCGCCAAGGGCGGTGAAGGGGCCACGAAGGGCCGTGAAGGGGCTGCGAAGGACGGCGACGGGGCCGCGAAGGGGCCGTGAGGGGCCGCGAAGGGTGGCGACGGGGCCGAGAAGGGCGGCGAAGGGCGGCTACGGGGCCGAGAAGGGTGGCGACGGGGCCGCGAAGGGCGGCGACGGGGCTGAGACGGGCGGCGACGGGGTCCCTTCTCAGCGCGTACACAACTGTTCCCGCCAACAGCACCCAAAAGTAATCCGTTACCACTCGCGACATTCACCTCGACACTGTTCCCACCACTGTTCACGACGCGACCCAACCTCACGGTTCGGTTGGTAGCCGCGCTCCAGACCTCCGCCTCGACATTTCCCAACCTCGGCGCTAGGCCCGTCGAGCACCCCCATTTTCACACATTACTGTTACCACTGTAGTTTCTCTATATATTCTTAGCTCATGCCTTCGCTCATTGTACTCTTGTTTCGATAGTGCAATTCTCGCTCGCTCACTCAATTGCACTCGTCGTAAGAAACTACTCTCGCCCTCCTCCACCCTGTCGTTTTTTGCTCGCTCGCAGTGGCACTTCCGCATGACGTCGCGATCCGCGTTGGCCAGCATACCCACGGCCGTGGCGGCGTGCGCGTCGTCGTGCGGCGCCACTCTCGCCGCTGCGGCAGCGCCGCTCCTCGTTGCATCCGATCCCTTCGCCGCGTTCGATCAGCGTGAGTTGCGGCGAGTAGATCCTGCTCGCTGCTCGTTGACGACCGCTGCTTCCCCATCGGAGCAGACGGCGACCGAACAATCTCGATCGGTTCTTTCCGAGCATCCGCACTCCCACCCGCCCGCCGCTCCCGCCGCTCCGGTCTCATCCGCTGCGTTCGTTTCTTCCCCGCTCGTAGCCCACATCCAATCGCGCTTCGCCGTCGCTCCAGCTTCCACAGCCGTCCGTCCGGGTTGCAGTGGTTACCACCACATTCTCAGCAGTGACGTGGCTCGCTCGCTCCTTCGCCAGATCTCGCTGACGTCATCGTGGCCACCTCAGCGCAGATTCAGCGGGTGCAGAGCAGCGGTATCAACGGCTAGCTTTTCCTCCGGATCAACGGCTGAATCAGATGCTGGATCGACGGCTAGCAGCGACCGGAAGGATGCGGGAGAGGAGGGCGGGTCGGCAGTATCCGGGGGAGGTGGGTTGTCTGACCGCGAGGTGCTGAGTTTAGCTACTGACGATCTTGCACAGTCGCACGAAAGCGAAGATGACTATAGCGAGGCACGTGAGGATGGCGCGTCGAATGATAGCGACGTTGATGCGAGCGCGCAGGAATCATCGGATGTGGCGCGGAGCAGCGACGGCGGGGGAAGCGCGGATGCCCGCGCAATGGGCGAGGGGAGACAGGCGGAGGCGGACGCGGCAGCGGAGCAGGCGGCGGGGCTGGCGACACTGGCGGAGCTGTACGAGGCGCAGGAGAAGCTCGTCAGGAGCGCGCGCTTTCGCGAATCGGTTGCGCTCTTCCGCGCGTGGATGCGCAAGGACAAGAGCGCGGGCGCAGGGGGGGGCGCAACCGAGGCAGGGGGCGCTCCTGCGCCGGGTGCTGGCGCGGAGGCAGCCGGGGAGGTTGGGGCCGGGGAGGCTGGGGCCGGGGCAGAGAAGGCGGAAAGGCCGGAATGGTGGAATCACGAATTCGAGGTGCAGCTACGGAAGGAGCGCGAGGAGGCGCTGCCGCTGATGACGTGGCAGCTGTACCTGCACGCGCTAATGCACGTGGGGCCGCCCGTGCAGGCGGTGCAGGGGGTGGTGCGCGCGATGAGGGAGATGCGCGGGCAGGGCGTGCAGGCGTCAAAGGATACGTTCCACGTGCTGCTGCGCACCGCCCTCGCCCGCCGCGACGCCAACGCCGTGCTGCTCTTCCTCACCCAGTGCGTCGGGGCGTCACGGTGTCGTGGGGGTGTGGGGCCGTGACCGCGTGGGTGGCGGCGTGACGTGCGCTGGGAGGGGGGAGGGAGGGGGGGGGAAGAGAGGTTCTTTGCAGTGGGCAAAGCGGTTGGGGGTTGGGGTTTGGCGGTTTGGGGAGAACGGATGAAGGAAGAGCGGGTTGAGGGCATGCGGAGTTGTGGGGTGCATTGATGTGCTGCATACCCCTCGTGGGCAAGGGGATTGGAGTTTGGGTTGACTATGAGACACCTCTCTGCCTTGCTCGCTGCACCACCCGTCATTCCCAGTGTGCCCTGCAACCCCCTCCCCGTCCTTCCATCCCACCCCTCCCGCCCCGCCCTCGCTGCCATCCTTCAGCGATGCCCCTCCCGCCTTCCACCCACTCGCACCCACTCTCCTCCCACGCCCCTCCCATCCCTCACATCCTTCCCATCCTCCCCACGCCTCTCCTCCCATTCCTCCCATCCCTCCCATCCCTCCCATCCGTCCCACGCCCCTCCCCTCCCTCCCATCCCTCCCATCCCTCCCACCCTGCTCCTCCTCTTCACCTCCCCCCACCCTCGTGGCGGCAGGATGGGAGTGGCGAGGGTGGTACCGGAGGCGGGGAGCTACAGCGCAGCGGTGGTGCTGTGCGCCAAGGAGCGCCGCATGCACGCGGCCTTGCAGCTCGTGGCGGACATGCGGAGGGCGCGCATGGCACCGTCCCCCCGGGCTGTGTCGGAGCTGCTCGCCACGTGCCTGCACACACGGCGCTCCCGGGATGCCATCACGGTGCTCGAGGTGGTCAAGGTGCGTGTTGGAAGGGGGGATGTGGGCAGGGGGCAGGGGGTGTGCCGCTTCAGGGGAGTGTGGGTGTGTGTGCCGCTGGGGAGTGTGGGTGTGTGCCTGTGCCGTGCCGTCGCCACATGCGTGCACACGCTCCACTGTCGTGATGCCATTGCTGTGCTGGAGATGGCTTCTGCCCATGCACCAAGTGTGTACTTGCACTCCACCCTATTCACCCTCCCCATGCACCCTCCCCATGCACCCTCCCCATGCACCCTCCCCATGCACCCTCTCTTCCACTGCCCTCGTCGCCCCCGTGCAATGTATGGCAGGCGCACAAGATAGAGATGGAGGGCAGGGCCATGGAGCATGCGCTCATGACCGCCGTGGACACCGAGGACTATGACTGCGCTTATCTCGCCATGCAGGTGCTCCGACTCCTTGCTTGCTTGTGCCATATCAAGCAAAGGCTCCCCTCCCATATGACGTCTTGCCCCCTCTTCCTCCTCCTCCTCCTCCTCCTCCTCCTCCTCCTCCTCCTCCTCCTCCTCCTCCTCCTCCTCCTCCTCCTCCTCCTCTCCCTCCTCCCTCCCACCCTCCTCGCATCCCCTCTTCCCATTCCTCTCTCCCCACCCCACTATCACCCGTTGCTCACGCCCCAATCTCCCTCACCTCTCGCCCCCCTCCCTCGCCTCCCTGCCAACAGCTGATGCAGGAGCAAGGTGAGTAAGTGCACGGCAAGGTGAGTACGTGCACAACGAGTTTTGAGACTTCTCAAAACTCACGCCTCTCCCCCGTCCCGCCACCCCCCCACAGCTGTTGCAGGAGCAACGGGACAGTGTGCACGACGGGCTGATGCTGCACGTGGCCAACATGGCGGCCAGGGCGGGCCACACGCCCATCATAGAGCACGTGTGGGACCGCCTCCTGCGCCGCCCCTACCCGCCCGCGCCCGCCTTCCACCTCGCGCGCATCCACGCCTACAGCGCCGCACCCAACTTCCCCTGCGCCTTCCGTGCCGCGCTGCACCTGCAGGACTTGCTGCTGCACCCCACGCTCGCCCGCCCCAAGGACCTCCCCCCCTACGACATCTTCCCCAAGTTCCGCCCCGGCACTCCCGGCGCTCCCCAGGATGATTTATTTCGCTACACGCTGCCCCTGCCGGCCCCGCCTGGTGCTGCGGGTGCAGGGGGTGAGGGGGAGGGGCTGGCGGGGGCAGAGGGGGGGGTGACAGGTGGCAGCGCGCCATTGGAGGAGCTGAACCCGTTCACGTCGCTGCGGCCGCTGACGCTGGCGCTGTGCTTGAATGTGGATGTGCTCGATAAGGTGAGCCATGGGGGGCACGCTGGTGAGACTTTTTTGAGC